AGGGTCATGCCATATCTGAGCTTAGTTCATTGCAGCAACCTCAAGAGGCAGCTGAAGACATGTCAGAAGCATCAGAGCTGGTTTGTGTGAGAGCTGACAGATCATATCACATGCCAGGACTCAGTGGCTCCCATGGAATGACCTGGATGGAAACAGTACCTACTAAAGGCCCAGCTAGTTTGGGCACCACAAGCCAAAGTGTAGATTGGATCCCTTCCCCACAAATTTCTGATATTTGTCCATTGTCTTGAGGATCTCTGTGGGAATATCACAACTTATATCTCTGCAAATTCTTTTTTGTGTGGGTTCTGTCCCCAAGATAAGGCATTTTATAAGATGGGATCACTTTATTTTTATTAGTATATTTTTTTTTTTGCAGTGTTGAGGGTTGAACCAGTGGTGCTTTACCACCAACCCCCATCCTCAGACCTTTTAATTTATTTCTCTTTTTTGTTTGGATACTGGGTCTTGCTAGGTTCTAGGCTAGCCCTGAACCTCCAGCCTCAGCCTCCTGAGTTGCTAGGATTAGAAGCATGAGCTTAGAAGTGATAAAGTTACTGTGCTAACTTTATCACTTTAAATCAAAGAAATACTTATAAAATGGGATTTAGAAATATGGGAAATTTTATGAGAAATGATTAATACATGACTATACTTTCTATTAGCTTCATTGTGGTCAAAAGCAGGTGTTTCCAGGCTATGAATAAGTAGTTTGCATTTTCGAAGTTAACTGGATCAACACCAAGGGGGAAAAAAAACAATCATAGACAGCCCACCAGAGAACTGTTTACCAAAGAAGCAGCTCATGGCAATGGTTTGCAAACACCACCAGACTAACTTGTATAAATTCCATTTGTTTAGTCATCGTTCTTCAGCCTGTCACAGATAGTGAAGGGAAAGGCAGAAACAGGAAATTACAGACTATTTTAAACAGCATGTTTTATTAAATTCACTTGCTGATGCACTTTATGGCAGGATGCGAGATTCAAGTGTTCATAACTTACATCTTTGCAAGTGCTTTTTCTAAGTGAGTTCTCCCAGCTAAAATATAGCATGTACCCAGGACTGGAAACATCTCTTAACTAGTAACTGTTTCACCCTAGGTCATGCAGCTATATCACATAAAATGGAGAAGTTTTAGCCATGTGAGGAGAATATACCTTGCTGATGTACCATAACCCTAGGAAAGCAACAGAGGCATCTTGTAGGTAACTTAGGTCCTTACTGCCTTCATTTTAAACTGCAGAATCAAAACACAGCAATCTTAAAATGAGTAACTAGAAACCATACATTGTTTCTTCTTTTTTACTTAAATGCTGATTTCATGCTTCTCTTCATAGGATAGTTGTGCACCTAGTTTCAGCCATCATTGTTAAGGCTGAATCCTTGTCTTTGAAAAGGCCTAATAATATTGGCAGGGATGATAACCTTAACTACAAATGAAATGACTTCAAATATAAGGGGCTGTCATAAGCATGGTTTCGAATGACTAATAATGTCTAAAAACATCTCCTGCTCTCAATTTGTTTGAAGGATAGAAGACTGGCTGCATCACCTAAGAATCCTTGTTATTAGCTGATATTTCCTGGGAAGTTGGAGTCCCAGTGTAATGCCCATGTCTTCTGTAAGTTTTCTATTGCCCTTCTGATACACAGAAAGGAGGTAATCAAGGGGAACTCTAATAAAAGGCTCATGATTGGAAGGGTGGTAGTCATGCTTTGATGGATTTAAGGATGAGTTCTAAAAATAAAAATACTTTCATTCACTTGCTTCAGCATATAAAATTTTCTAAATTTCTGTAACCTTAAAAGATCATGCTTTTCTCTAATTATTGATTAATTGTCAAACTGTGAGTTCTCTTGACTGAGTTTTTCTATTTTCCTCCCACATCCCATCCTGTCCTAGCCTTAAGACTCTTTTCAAGAATAGGATTTTAAGAAAGTGTATAAAATCTTTACCCTTTTAAATTGCCTTTGCTGAGCCACTTTCTACAATGACCCACTTTGGAAAGGAAGGTCCAGTGATAAAGGCTAATGATTGGCTCAAGACATGTACTGAGATGCCAGGGAGTAGCAATAGAAGGCACTCTTGAGAAGTAGGGCCACTTTTTAAAGAATTCCCTTGTCTTTCAAAAGTCTGGATTCAGCTCTATTGGGTTACACTTGAGGTAGAGCACAGCAACAAGAGAAGGTGCTACTTCCAAGCAGGCAGATGGCAGATTGGGTGGAAAGTGTCAACTTTTCCAATTCTCCCATAATGGATTTAACTTACCATGAAGGAGTGCCTTGGCCACTTTGGGAAAAATCTTAGTATCTTGTAAACAGAAGTGACAATGCTGGGCATGAAGGGGCCACACAAGAGGCACTCAGGCTCTCATGCTAATGACACGGAAAATTTTTGTAATTTGGATGGGTGTTTAGGGATTATATTTGGTGAATAAAAAGAATTTCTTTACGTATTCTGGAAATGTCCTAGGATCAAAAAAACCTGATGACTAACAATTACAGATTTTTATGCTGCTGGATTCAAAGGTACCACCCACCCTGCAAAGAAGTAATTCTAGTTGGTTCTACTGAGCAAATGGAAAAATCACCAACTCCCTCATTTGATAGTTTGGGCCACCAAGAACACATTATGTGGCAATGTTGGGGGCTTTTAAAACAGCAAAAAGATAAGCCCTTTCTTTCATATTTAAATCTCCATGGTATTATAATAAGAATGCTACTTTTGACAAATTAATTAGCTTTCAACTAGCTTTCCCCTTTATCAAATAAAATATTGGCTTTTAAGAATAACATTAATACAGAACTGAATGGAATACTACTTGCAATAATCTGTAGCTGTTAAAACCATTTATATATGGGTCATCTTAATAATTTGACATTTCATAAAGAAATCACCCAGGGTTCAGTATTTAATGGATTCGTGTTACACAAGTTTTTTTCAGAAATTTTCCCAAAACAAAACTTTTTACATTCTTTAAGATATAACTTTAATCAATCACATCATTTATCAACACTGTGCTTCTTAATCAACAGTAATCTACACCTACAAACTAGGACCAGTCTAAAATATTGGCCTTTTAAAGTACTCTTTCAATTTGAAAATTCCTGTGTGGTCACTGTCCACTACAGTTTCTAAGTGTTTTGAGTTTTTTCATGGAGAGAGAATAATGGCAAAGAGAACCATAGCCAATAGTCATTAAGATAAAATAAAAAAGCTTAATGAATTTTGATCATTTTAATAAATATATATCAAGAAAAACCTCACTTTATTACAACACACTCATATACAAGCATCTATCATCTAAATTTTCAACATCAAATGTTTATCAAATATTGAAAATAAAGGACAAAACATTGCTAGACTATTTAGCTATAACACAAGAACATTTGTTTTAAAAATTGGTCCTTGTGGACAATTGTCCAAATGATCCTACTCATACACTGTATGAATGAGACCTATATTTAATATTAATAGCAATAATAATAATTAAAAAAAAGCTTTATCTTGGAGAAACTGGGAGGACTTACTTGTTTCCTCTGTTTGGCATTTGGTTCCTGTAAAGTAATATTTAAAGAGGCCCAAGTCACTTGGTAACCCTGGCAATAGGAATACCATTTCGCAGAAGGAGTTGGCTGGAGTGGAAGGAAAGATGGTCAGAGGGTCACCTGAACACTCTTGCAAATATCCAAATTCAAGACATTACTGAGAAGACTGTTGGCCAAATACACCGTAATGATTACAGACCAAGTCCCATTTCTCCAAAATAACTTTCCAAAAACTAAAATCTTTACATTCTTTAAGATAAATCTTATTGATCACCACATCATTTATTAACATTGTGCTTCTTAATCAACAGCAAAAGTCATATATAAAAAACCACATGCTTTTATAATCTAAACGAGTGAAATGATGCAAAACAGATTAAAGTATAATGCATGCCACGGGCTCATGAACTTCATTGGACAAGAAAACAAAACAAAACAAAACAACCCAAAACCCAGAAAACCCAGACCCCAGCAACACACCGTTGCCATAGAAAAGCTCAAGCAGCTAGTGCTGGTTGCTAACAGCTCTCTCTATTGTGTCCTCCATCCCTATCCAAAAATGCCAAACCCAAAGCAACCGGGCATCAAAAATAAAGGAAGAATAGAGGTGTCGAATCAAAAGCTGAACGCAATAGTTCAAAGTTAACAGTTTCCAAACCATATGTATCCACCCTGTGTTTTTGTTTTTTATTCCTGTTTGTCAAATCCCTGCTGTAACTCTGATTTATCCTTAATTTTCACATTGGCAAAAATTAAGATAAAGTAAGGCACCAAAAATCGCCCTGTATACCACCTCCCTAAAAACCTCATCCCCCATCACAGGCAAGCCGGGAACTTGCAGGGAATACCCTCTCCGCAGAGTGTCAATTGCTGCCCCTAGACAGGTGTTTCATTCGGTTCCATCCTATTTTTATCTGTCACACAGAGACTGTTAAATATAAATACTTAACAGCACTATGAAGCCATTTATCTAGCTCCCTGTCTTCAGTCTTTTATTCAGAAAAAAAAAATACTGTATCATATGGAAGAAGTAGACATCTTTTGCTGGTTATATTGATTGGCTTACCAAATAACTACCTAATGAATTGGCAAACGAGTTGAACTTTCTTAGCTAGTAGTGACAGGCTTCTTGGGGGGCCATGAAACTATCACAAGGGCAGGTTGTCCCCCAATTTAACCTACTGATCTTTTTCTGTAAGAAAACTAAGATAAACTTTTAAATATTAAGTCAATTGTTTCCTTGGTAGAATCACCGCATTTATAAGTAGCTTGCTGATGCCTACTATACAGATGTTTTATGCAATCTGCTCTCCAGGCATTAAAACGACACGGTATGTTCATGGCATAATTTTATCAGTTGTACAAAACTATAAAATCCATTCAAAATAAAATTTATGAGAGCTAACTGATCATGCTGCGCATGCTTCCAAGTTTTGGTGAAAAGATGGTTCATATTTTACTTCCTTTGCTGCAGCACAGTTTGTTGCTTGGTGAAGGCTCCTTTTTCCTTAAAGACTTTTTCCAGGACTCGCTTACATTGTTTTTGTCATTATATCCAGTCTCGAAATAATCATAAAATTGGCCTTTGCACCCAAGATCGAGGTCATTGCCCACAGGTTCATGGCTGAGGGGGTCACCTTCTCTGTTGGTGTCGTTCGCTTTCTCCTCACTTAACCTGGCCTTTTCCTGAACGCCAAGTGACCTGACATTAGTGACAAAGATTTCATTGGCAGGTATCTGGCCATCACTCTTGTAAATGGGTGCCCCGCCTACATCAAAATCCACCTGATGGGAACAACTCGGCAAAGGCAGAGGGGGAGAGGAAGAGGAAGAAGAGGAGGAGGAGGAGGCACTTCCCACATTCGCATTGACAGAAAGGGGTAAATTCAGGTAGTGACCACCGCACTCTTGGTAAAAGCAGCAGGCATGAAACTTTTCACACTCCTCTTTGGCCATCCGTGGTCGTTTTCGGTAAGGACAGTCTTGAGCCATAAACCACTCCTGGGCAGAGGCGCCACTGAAGGAGCAGGCGGGAAAGCACCAGTTATTCTGCATGATGATTTCTCCATGAATCCTTTTCATCAAGTTGTTTATAAGGACAGATCTTCGGAGGTACACTTCAGGATCATCGATAAACTTCAGCTTTTCTAAGGACATATAGAGGATGTGGGCTCGTTCCTCAAAAATTGAGATGGTCTAAAAATTTAAAAAAAGAGAGAGAAAGCTTAGAAAATGGACTGTACAAAAATATTATGCCTGCATATTTCTTTCTTGGCAGGATCTGGTTTGGCAATGTTGTGTTCTTGCTTCCCCTGGGTCCACTTAGAAAGGCTGACCCCAGTGCTGCAGATGCCCCCCATCCTCACCCGAAAAGCTCCCACCCACTTCTTTTTTTTTATTTTCAGAAACCAATCACAATCTTATTACAGGAGCAACAAACTAGGATGTAAAATAACCAACTAAATCTATACTTTTTTTTTTTTTAAGATTATTTGCCTGGGCCATGAAAACCATTTATAAAGTTTTCAAAGTTTTGTAAAACCCCTTTGGAATTACATTTCTAATTGCTTATATATGTAACAATTTGGTTAACACTTTGGAAAATTCTCAAGTTTCCACAATACCCCCAAACCAACATTGATATTCTTATGAGTATGTTGGTTTGACACTTTTTTTGTTGTTCTTTTTAGTTATACAGGACAGTAGAGTATATTTTGACATATTGTAATACATGGAGTATAACTTCCCATTCTTGTGGTTGTACATGATGTGGAGTTACACTGTTCACGTATTCATATATGAACACAGGAAAGTGATGTCTGACTCATTCTCCTGTCTTCCCACCCACTGGTATGGTCACACCAGAGAATCCAGCCCAGTGCAGATCTCAGCAGGGGCAGCCTGGTTGTTCAATCTTTTATGGCTCAGTGAGGAAGATGATGAAACACACAACTAATCTAAGCTGTTAGAAGTTAGAAGAGCAGTTACCTTGGGTGGAGTAAAGGGGTATTGACTAGAAGTGGGTTCAATGAAGCATTCTGATAGCTGGTTACATTTTGGTTCTTGACCTGGATATTAGTGATGTGGGTATGTTCATGGGTGAAAATCATCAAGCTGTACTTCACTTGCACTTTTTTTAATGTATGTATATACAAATACATATGCACACATAGGCACACACATGTACTGCACATCAATAAATGATTTTAAAAAGATGTCAAGGCACAGATCATATTGGGTATGCTTTGAGGTATACCCAGAGTCTGATCTAGCCGTCAGGGAGCACGAGATTTGGCTTTTGGTGCTGTCCTTCTTTTAATCCTCTGGGTGTCATATCTGTAATGACCCTTGCTTGATAAGAGAATAACAATAATTAATGAGGCTCAGACATGGACAGTATCTGTCAGTTGAAGGACCAAAGTAAGCTTTCTTTTAGGGTCTGGCAGGAGAAGGCAACTGCAGAGAGGAAATGAGGGGACTCACTCTTGAGCTGTGAGATACCATCCCTGTGTGATGGTTGGTGCAAATCCAGTAGGAACTGGAAAACTGCCACAACCACAACTTCAAAATTGAAAAGGAAATAAACTGCCAGTGTCCTGGGGGCCAGCTCTGCCAGATCATTAAAAAAAAAAAAAGGCAAACTGGTAGCATGACCCAAAGAGCTGTGAATTAAATCAGGGAAGACTGACCAGAGGCCGAGACAAGGACAACGCACACAGGGAAAGGAACACCTGCCAACACATGCTGATGTCTTTCTATGGGCAAGGCAAAAGCAACATCTAAAGCGTGTGGTATGGGTGCAAGAGGAGACAGAAGGGAAGCTGAACTCAAAACCCCTCTGCATTTTAGACAACAATGGTCTGGGGCTATATCCTCTTTCCCTCTTTCATTAAATCACCAGATCATTTTTGAAGGAAGATTATTATAAGGAAAAAAGAACTGATATTTCAAAAGTTCCATAATCCTATGCTCTTTCCCCATCTTGATAATCTCTTAGTATATGTGCAAGAAAGTAAGGTTTGTTCTTCTCTTAGGAATGGATTCTATATTTCAACAAACTTAACATGAATGAATGTGACCTCCCTCAGCTATGAATGAATGTAAGAGGAAGCCCATGTTTGTATTGCATGCACACACTGAGAGGGCAGGGAAAGCCCTGAGGAGCCACCCCCATGTGGGTACACAGAAGTAACATGGGCCACCAGAGGCAGAGCTCAGGCTGGGGAGAGCATGTCAGGACAGAACAAGTGCATTTCCTGGCACATGAAAGTGTAGAACAACCATAACCCTTCAGGCAACTTGAGAAATATTAAATCTTAAGTAAAAAAGATGTTTGTTGCATTGTATAATTTTGTTATTTCTGCATAGAAGATCTCTTTCTGGCTCTCTCTTCAAGTACTTGTGAAAAATAACACAGGACCCAAAAAAGTGACAACACTTAATGTGGCCCTCCAAAGAAGTGGCTCATTTTAATTTCTGGAAATGGATCAAGCAACTAAGTATCTTAAACTCTTAATAAAAATAATGACTATTAAAAAAAACATACTTTATGGCTACAGCTGCTGAGTGGTGGGTGAAAATCCTCTTCTTCCACATACTTCCTCTTAAAGTATGTGATCTTGGATGTTGTTATAGGATTTGAAATTCCCCTGTAATGTGATCCTGTGGTAATAAATCAGATATGACAAATGACATGCGGTTTGCCAGAGGTTCTCCAAACAAAATACTTTCATTTCCTTTTCTTCCAGAGGATAGCTTGGCTACATCTTTGTCTGTACATGTGGTGATTAAAAATAAACATTTGTCTTAATAGTTGCTATCACACAGAATCCTGTGACCCAAGCTGGGCGAGGGCTTCCAGGCAATTTTAGAGGAAAATGATAACTTTCAGCACCTACTAAACACTCAGATTCTTAAACTCAATGCATAGACAAACAGTGAAATTTGTAAAGGGGAGGAGTACGGCAACTCCGAAATAATATTAATATTTATTCAAACTGTTTCATTAAATCCAGACAACATAACATCACTATTCAGATGTATACATCTTTAATGGGAACCACTGGTAACCAGACTTCTTTTAAATATTTTTGGTTCTAGGTAGTAAACACATGGGGGCACACTGGTGTTATAACAGTTCTTTTAAAAAGCGAAACTTATATATTAAAATTCAGATTTTGGGTAATTAAAATCATTTTCACTCTTAAAAATGTAGCACATCATTCATAATAAAGTAGGACCTAATTTTTAAAGACCACATCTTTTAATCCTTCTTAGTAAAACAGACTTCCCTCAAGTCTTATTTTATATTTTAGTTTTTTTTTCTTTAAATAGCCAGTGCTACCAAAAAATCCCCAAAGGAACTTAAACCTCAAGGATAAAGAATCAGGAAGAATAGACTTCTATTTTGTTGGCTTATAATAGTTTTCCTCCAATACCAAAGCCGGTCATATGTTCCATAAAGAGAAAAGGTACAAAGCTGCTCATCCAAAGTGCAGATTCTTTTATGTCTCAAGGGGTAAAGATTTCACTGTCAAGCCCACCAGAGTTTGTGCCACTCTGAGAGAACTATACAGTTGTACGAGATTGGAAAATAAACTCAGAGATTCAAAAATTTGGTTTGGCTCTCCTAAAAATACAGGCCCATGACTTGTATGCAAGGAGCAGCAGAGGTACAGGCACATTTGAATGCAATTTAAATACCACCACTGTCCTCTCCAGGAGCCCTGGGTCTGCTTATGAAAGGCACACTGGCAGCCCTGGAGCATCAGCTCTCAGCTCTCAGCTCAGAAGGACGTCCCATCTGTCTACCAGTCTGGCTGTGGAGGGCAGAAGGGGAAGGTCAAGGGCAATACCTGCCAGTGGGGGACCGGCTCCCCGGTCTCCCTGCAAAGGAGCCTGTGCTGGCCCCGGGGGGCTCGGGCCTCTGTAGCTGTCAGCCTCCCATAGTGTTTGGTACCCAGCAATTTCAGCAGCTCCTTCCGAGACAATGGGCTCGCAGAATCTATTCATGGACAGAACCAGAGTCATCTCTGACAGCCTCAGATCTGGAAAAAGAAAAAGAGAAAACAGCCCCAATCAAGACCAAGCTAAGGGACAGCCTTGGCATCTTCATGCCTTTGCTTTGGGAAACTTTTACTTCCCAGTCCACCCCTTCACCCTGAACCATTTGATTATTTTCCCAAGGAAACCTCAGCAAACTCCTGCTATTAGCTCAGCCTCTGTGTTCAGCAATCTGCATCTCAGGGGCGGATCTTTAAAAGCCCATTTCTTATTGTTCTCAGATTCCCTTCAGCCCTCTTCCAGACAGCTGCTTTGCCTCCTAAACACATTTTCCTCCTGACCTTCCCTCAGAAAATGTTCCACTAAGAGGCAGGGCCAAAACCCTTGTGCTTCCTTTCTATTAATAAGGCAAAATCAATTTTCTAGTCAATCCCCTGGGAGTCTCCTTTGATGAAACCCGCTAATCAATCAAAAGGAAAGGGCGGGGGAGGCAGAAATCTCCACCGTAATCCCAACTGATGCTCTGAGGTTCAGTCTGTTCCGCTGCCCCCTGTCCCCTCCTCCTCTCGCTTCCACAGGCCAGGTTCCTCTACAACATTCTGGGGGCTCCCTCCACTTTCTCCTTCCAAAGCGAAGCAGACAGAGAGACACTTGGTAGTTGTTTCCACCAGCCCTGATCCGCCTGAACTGGATCTGCCTCCAGTCAAAACACTGTGAGATGAAGACAGAAAATTGGCTCCAGTTTCCAGCCGTGAGTTGCAGTCCCACAGGAGCCAAGCACAACATCAACGGAGCAGGCAGAATATTAAACAGCAGCCAGGGCTCAGGGGCCAGAGGCAGCCAGCAACTCCTTACACAGCAAAGCCCAGACACAAGGCAGGAACTTTCCAAGAGGCAACACATCACTGCCCTCCTCTCCAGGTCACGCCCTTCCCTTGAGACTGCAGGAAGAAGGGAATATCTTTGCTGGTGATGCTCCCTGGGCTCCTCCATAACTCATGCATGGGGCCACTTCCATGGGGACTCCATGTTTTCACTTAGTCCAATGCAGGGTTCAAGGTAGGGTCAAGGATAAGTTGAAACGAGAATGAGAAGAGAGTCTGATATTAAAACAAAAAGATCTTGAGGCTGTAGACCAGTGGTGACAACCCGGCAGCCTCAATGCCTTGTTAACTGCCAATTCCTTTAGGAGACCCAAACCTCCACTCTCTCATTCTGCGGTTTAAAGAACTGTCACAAAAGTGATGTCAGACTTGCTTTCTGAAGATTGATTGTCTTTCAAATATACACTAAGGGTCTCGTTCTTTCTTTCTTTTCCAAATTATACAGCTTGTAATGTTTGGAGGGGGGTGTGAATCTGTCATTGTCTCAAGGGAGACCATTACTCCCTCATGCTATAACGAAGGTCCACTTCCAGGTAAAAGAATGAAAAGCTTCAGGGTAAGGGGAAATAGCTTCATTAAAGTGACAAAGTCCTCTGGCTAACAGAGCAGCTCTTGGCAGCAGTGCCTGTCTTTCATCAGGCTTCTCTCTCAGTTCTCAGTCAGTCCCAAACCCACTGAAGTCAGAGAAGGTGTCCAGGTCATTGGGTGGAATTAGTACTCAGCTGATTTAGGCTGCTAAACCTGACCTCCCCTTTCTTTCAAGATGCCCTCCAGAGAGACATCCACAAGGACTTATAAGAGAACCTTGTTACAAGAGGGGGAGAGAAAAGAGGTCTGAACAATTATGAAGAAATAATGGACATGCCATTTATTTTTTCTGTTTGAATCATCAACCAAGAAATTTAGACTCTGTTGATTTAACAAACTAAGCCATTCTGTCCATCACTTCTCAAACTCCACAAGAGGCAGGGTATCAAACCTCAGGATACTTTATTCCCTGGAAAACTCTCATGAAATGATCCAATTTCTTAAACTATTCTAAGAGACGATCATATCAGGAAATGCTATTGCTAGAAGCACACAAATCATAGCTTTTTATCAGAATCAGCAGCCTTCTCTTTATTGACAACAATGATATTTTCCAGCTTGAATTTTACACTCACTTTTGTGCTGGATTCTGGGGAAAACATCCAAGCCTTTCGCCTGGCAGAACTTTTATTACAAATAAACAAAAGCAGGTTGATAAACCCAACCCGCTTAAGAAAGAAAAGCATTTGCAGGCCCCCAGTAGCAATTACCTTTGTTTAATAGGATGTTCCTGGGCCCTGTGCTGTTTTATGTTAGTCAGAGTTTGTTTGTATTATAATGGTGAGTAGCTTTTTTGGTTGTTAAGAATTTCAGTGTTTCTATTTGTTAGTATTGTTTCCAGCATATGAAATTTCATCATTTTGCATTTGAACTTGAAATGTGGCATAATAGTTTTTATTTTGGTTGTTTCTTTTGTTTACAACATCTAATTTCAGTTAAGTTTTTCCTTTTTGAATTGGAAACTGTTGCACACAAAATTCTAAATGAAAGAGGCTGGGTTCTGCAAGTGATTTATGTAAATCTGAATAAAACATGAATGAGTTGGGATTATTTGGGAGCAGGGAGGAGATTTTGCAATTGCATCTTCCTAGCCCACTTAGAACTTACACTGGGATGTTAACAAATTAAGAAGGAGAGTTTAATGTTCATGAAACACTGGACTGTATAGCATCAACACCAACGTTTAACATGCATCTTTATTTGTAGTATGTGTAGACAGCCAAGCTCATTATTCTCAGAATGAGATTTACAATACTATTCTGCTACAGAATTCAGAAGTTCAAGTCCACAAATTCATGTGCTGTTAATATTAAATATAGCCACAAAGATGTACACTATGGCAAATTTTTTAACATCAAAAGTGAACAGATTCAAAAGGAGGGTGTTAAAGTGTGTTTTGTCTGTGCATGCATTTAAAAAATAAAAAAGCCCTAACCCTTTATCCTCAGGCTACTGTGTGTCTGTTTTGTTACCCAAGGGGATGTAGTGGAATGACCCCCTCAAGCATACTCAGAAGGCTGAGGGTTAAAATGTCAAGCGTTCCTCGCAAATGTTCATAGTAAAGTTACCAGGCATTTCAATACAATTTGGCTTTTCCAGATGAGCTGTGCTTGCTCCTTCCTTCATTATAATGCTAATAGGAGTGGCTGACACACAGAACAGGAGGGTAGCTATGATTCAGTGGCACCTTGAATCTAACAGAGGGCTCCTGGTCATGTTTTGCCCATCCCTCCTCCCATCTGTCATTAGAAATCAGAAAACATTTTATTGAGAGCATTGTAGCAGTGAAAGGACTGATTCCAATGCTGGAAGCCGGGAGGTAAAGGGCAGGTATTTCCAACTCATCCTTGACACTGCCAGTCTTAAATATTCTGTCCATGTGGAATCAAGCCCCTGACCTGGACATTGTCCCTAACAAGCTCTCAACACCTTGGCTGGCTCATGGTGGTGGTTGTGGAAGAAGCTGGATAGGCAGAACAAAATCTTCCAACCTTTCTAGACAGACAGCTGTCTCTTTTCTGCTGGTCCCTGCAGTACACCTGTCTTCCCTGGGAAGTCCATTTCTCAGCTGTAATCCCGCGAGGCCAACAGCTTAAGTTGGGTCTTGGGGCTGGGAATGCGGGCGCTGCTCCTAAGGAGGTTGAGGGGGTTCCCTGGGTGATAGCCCAAAGAGGGGGGTCTGGGGTTTGGCGGGCCAATCCCCTACCAGCGGGTGGCAGCCATCACTCCTGGTTTCCGCACAACCACACCCCCCCCCCCCCC